AAAGTCCAAATAGCAATTTTGTTGGTTTTTGATGTGGTTAATTTGGTTCAGTCCTAAATTAGCAGTTTTGTCAAAAATGAACTGCAATGTTTCATTATCCCCAACGACTGGGAGTAAGACACATTCATTTTCAGAGTCCAGAATGAAGTCAGCATGGCGTTGATTAAAGTTTCCATAGATGTGAACTTTAACCTCAGGAGGAAGCTCAGATAGAATTTGTTCAGCACTTTGGAAGAAGGCTTCATAAGTGCTTTTTATGAGCATGGTCTGGTGGAAAATACACTGAGGCGAACACGTGCGTTTCATCGGCTATGTGTGATTTCACCCAAATATGCTCAAATTCTGTAAATTTTGGTGTAATGATGAGTTCTGAGTTTGAAATTGTTTGAGTTTGTTGGAAGTACGTCGGTTGATAAAATATTTTCATTATTATTACTATTTACACCTACCTTTCCATTTTCTTCTGAAAGTGTCCGAAGAGTGGTGTCGTTTGATGAAAAGGTTCCTTCCGAAGTGTGCGTCAATGTCGATGAATATTTTGGGTGCTGTAGAATTTATATGCGGCTTCCCGTGTGTGCTGCAGTCGTTGTGTGCGTTCACTAGATAAGAACGCACGGTGTGATTCCAGGTCTGCCAGGGCGTCAATGCGTGGGATTCCAAGTTCTTCGTGGACGTCCAGGAAAATTTCGCGCAAAAGTTGTGTGTCCGTTGGTAATCCTTTGGCTGCTAGCATTAAAGTTGAACTTGTTAGCGTTATTTCGCGGACACATACTGAAGGCGGTTGGTTATGCAGGAAAGACAGATAGGTTCGCACAGTATCCATGATTTTAGGGTCCCGCAGGCGTGCCTTCAAAAAGCGTCTGTCGCCGGCTGCAGATTGTTCCGTAAGCCTAACGACAGGCGGGCGCATAGGGTCTAGGAGTGGTGGGTCAGGTTTTTCTGTGCGGTAAGGGTTAATAGTTTCCCCTTTTTTTCATCATCGAGTTGCTGTTATTACCATGTAGTCATATTAACAAATAAAACGATTGACGAATCTTGATGTGGATGGGCTTGAGATTAGACTCAGGATGTTCTGCTCAGTAAGCAAAAACGGTTGCTCTAAGGCCACCGAGCCCCTCATATCACATCATACCGTTACTCAAGTTATTATAACTATTCAAACCCGGCACCGACGACAACGAAAGGTTTAGCAAAATACACGATAAACAAGCGATCTTACCATACATTTTTAATATGAAAGGACCTGGGACCGCGTTTTTCTGCTCAGTAAGCAAGCCACTGCAACCGACGATCTTTCAAATCCGAAAACAAAAGGCTACGAAAAAGTATTTAGGCCTTGATTAAATTCCACTATCACGCGACGTTCAATGTTTCGATTTGCTCTTTACGCATTGTTCAGGCAATCATAACGACAAACGACTTCGAAAGCCTTCAGACCCATAAGCCTTTCCTCTGTTCTGTTGAAGACAATGGCAAAAAAAATTGTGGATGACGTCATTAAATCAACAAATTTAGCAAGGTTACCTCTTAGTAAATTTCAATTCGCTTATCAATCAGGTATAAGCATTACAATTACGGCATTACAATCGCTGGTTGATAAAATCGAGAAATCGCTTGAAGCCAAGGAAATTGCCGTGGTTGCTTTTCTAGATATTGAAGGAGCATTCGACAAAGCATCCTACAGCTCAAGGCGTTCAGCTATGGAAGCAAGGGGCTAGGATAACTGCATTATCGATTGGATAATGGCGATGCTCACAGATCGAGAAATTTCTGCTGATCTTGGAGGTGCGCAACTAACTATAAGATCGATGAAGGGTTGTCCTCAAGGAGGGGTACTATCACCCTTATTGTGGTCTTTAGTAGTGGACGAACTCCTTAAAAGTTTGGCGGAGCAGGGTTTCAAGGTGATTGGTTACGCAGACGATGTGATGTGGCCATTATAGTGCGGGGAAAGTTTGAGAACACGATTTCAAATCGGTTACAAACTGCTCTAAACATGACCTTCCATCCCAAGTAACAATTCAGGTTTTATGAGGGTTCTGTAGACCACAATTTAGACTTGTAGCTTGCTATAAAACCTCTATAAAGCTTGCAATGTTACTTGGGATTGGTGTAGGAGAGAGGGCTTAAATGTAAACCCTTCAAAAACTGTCATAGTTCCTTTCACCAAAAGGGGGAAAAAATATGTTGACACAGCCTACTCTAGATGGAGTTCGAATTCAGTTCGCGGATGAAGTTAAATACCTAGGTGTTACTTTGGATAGGAAACTGAACTGGAACTCTCATCTTGACAAGGTTATTACTAAGGCTACAAATGCGCTATGGGTCTGTAGTAAAGCTGTGGGGAAAACATGAGGACTTGCTTGTATATCAATGGCAGGAGCAATGAGGAGCACATCATCAGATGCTTTGGATGCCGTTCTCAATATTTTGCCCTTACACCAATTTGTTAAACTACAGGCAGCAAAAAGTGCTTTACAGTTTAACCGTCAAATTAAACTTTTAGATGGTGACTTGGTAGGACATCTAAAGTTCCTTAAGGATTTCAAGTTAAATTCAGCTGTTAAATCAAAAGAAGATTGGATGGTAACAAAAACAAACTACGATGTTCCCTTCAAAGTGGTTAAACCAAGCCGCCATACATGGGAGTCTGGTGGGCCAAACATACGCCCAGGATCTATTGTATTTTACACCGACGGCTCGAAGATGGGTGAAGATACTGGAGCTGGGGTCTTTGGCCCTGGAGTCAGTAAAATTATGCCAATGGAACCTAGTCCCACAGTATTTCAAGCAATCATAGAATGTGAAAACATCTGTCTAACAAGAAAATACAGGTTTGGCAAGATCTGTATATTCTCGGATAGCCAAGCTGCTCTTAATGCGCTTAAGGCGTTCACATGTCGATCGAAGCTAGTGTGGGAATGTATTCTTTCCTTAAAACAATTGGCCGAAAGGAACGAAGTCATATTATACTGGGTGCTCGACCATTGTGGCATTGAGGGAAATGAAAATGCCGACAGTCTAGCAAGACGAGCTTCTGCATCGAACTTCATCGGTCCGGAACCATTTTGTGGAGTCCCTGAGTGTACTATAAGGATGGAACTAAAAAGTTGGGAAACGTCCATAGTAGAATCCAACTGGAACGCCACAGATGTATCCAGACAGGCGAAAAGATTTATAAGAACAAGTGCAGAAAAAGCCCGGATTTTGCTTAATCTTAGTAAAAGAGATCTTCGGGTAATAACTGGTCTGATGGCTGGTCACTGCCCTAGCAGATATCACTTATATAAAATAGGAAAAAAAAATCCGTCTAGCGGATGTCGGTTTTGTCAATTTGAAAACGAAACTGCTGAACATATACTCTGTAGCTGTGGAGCACTGTTCAATCAAAGAATGTCAATATTTGGAAAAGGGATATTAGAACCCTTTGAAGTTTGGCAAAGCAATCCCAAAATGGTACTAGACTTTATAAGACGAGTTGTGCCTGATTGGGACAGCCTGTCTATCACACCTTAATTGTGAGAGGACATGTGACTAGCACCAAAATAAAATGGGTCAGACAAAACAATATTCCTAAGTAATGGACGCAGTTGTTAAAAAGGATCTACAGATACAGATAAGAAAAAAAAAACATGTCTCACCCCTTGGCTGAAACCTTGGACGAATTCAACCGTCTCCTCAAGTATCTTACTGAGAAGCAGCACAATTTTTTTTATTCACGATACCAATACTGAACGTCTGTTCAAGGTTGTCTTGAAAAGTCTGCCCAAGGGTGAATCTCTGGATCAGATCAAAGATGAATTGGCCAAATTACTTGGAGTTGAACCAATCCAAGTAATCAAAATGAAAATGAAATCCCGTCCTGGCGATTCGCGCAACGAGATATCCAATGATTTTTATTTAGTTCACTTCAAGTCCACTGAACTAAATAGCTTCAAGGCATTAGAAAAAGCTAGCCTTATGCTCAATGTCCAGGTAAAGTGGGAAAACTTCAGGTAGACAGGACATTTTAAAAACCTCACCCAGTGCCGTAAGTGCCAGGGAACCGAAAAATGCTACATGCCAGCTAAATGCATGAATTGTGGTGATTCATCGTACGCAAAAGACGACTGTCCCGTAAAGGAAGATCCTAAGAAATTGAACCGAGAATTTATAGATGAAAATTCCCTGACCAAAATTTCATTCAAATATAAAAGAGTCGGGACAGAAGTGGCATTTAGCGTTTTGGGGCTGGCAATGCTCTATCGTGAATAGTTTTAAATCGTTTCGTTTTGTATATCGACCTTAAGTCGCCCACCATGCGTCTCCATATACGCATTAAATTGCGATTAAATTGACTGGAAATTCGACAACATGGCAACCTTTGTCTGCTCTAATTTAACTTCAATTCCATCCCGTTTAGCTTCTATTTCCCACAGCAGTATATGCCATTACATCAACTGTATCAATATGTTGTAATGATGTATAGGCAGAGTGTCTATTTGTAACAGTCTCCCATAACCCATCACAGCTCCAGTCATTCGTTATCATCTTATCAAGGGCCGCTCGCTACCTTCATGCTGCTGAGGCTGGCACACATGTTCCCCATTTGTTAGTCTTCCTCGATGGATGCGGATGCCGTTCGTTGTTTGTTTACCCTTACATTTTCGCTTGATGAATAATTCCAGCAAAACGGCGTCGTTTGTTTGCTCATTTATTCCAAATTCCACCCCCCCCCCCCCTCCCATTTTCCTCCCGCACACACAGACCACAGATGCGAAAATAACGACCCGCTTGCACAACACATAACTATACCCATATATTTCCATTTTACTACACAACTGCTCATTTTTCTTAATGGTATTTTCTTTGTCTCTCCCTTCACCACCGCGCCATCGTGGGATTTGCATTTGCACTTCATTACTGCAAATTTAAAATGCAATAAAAAAATCAACCGAAAACAACACAAACCGCACGACCTTGTTCTGGTTCTGGTTCTGGTACTGATGCTGATGCTGCAGATGTGGCCAGGAAACACGCGTCATTCCTCGCATCCTGCAGCTCCGGTCGCACTGGATGAAATCGGAGAAGGAGTCGGTTCGGCTGGTCGAAGCCGGCATCACCAAGGAGGTGCTCAACGGTGCGATCGCCCAGTTCTGTCTGGAGATCATTGCCAAGCATGGTGACCCGGCGCCGCGGTTATGCAACAAGGATCCCCTGACGCTCAAGATGGGCACCTACGTGATCGAGCTGTTTCCGGAGGTAAGTGAATCAATCGTCAATCAATCCAATTTGATCACGTGACCATTTTTGCAGGCCAAATTCCTCTTCATGGTCCGCGACGGCCGGGCGACGGTGCATTCCATCATTTCGCGCAAGGTCACCATCACCGGGTTCGATCTGAGCAACTACCGGCAGTGCATGACCAAGTGGAACCAGGCGATCCAAACGATGCACGAGCAGTGCAAGGAGATCGGCAAGGAGCGCTGCATGATCGTCTACTACGAACAGTTGGTGCTGCACCCGGAGGAGTGGATGCGGAAGATCCTGCACTTCCTGGACATCTCCTGGAACGACTCGGTGCTGCACCACGAGGAGTTCATCAATAAAGAGAACGGGGTGGCGTTGTCCAAGTATGGAGTGTACGGTCGCGAAGGTTGGTGATCCTGAGTGACCATTTTCCAATTGCATTTTTAGGGTCGAACGATCATCGGACCAGGTGATCAAACCGGTCAATGTCGATGCGCTCTCCAAGTGGGTTGGCCAAATCCCGGAAGACGTGGTACGAGATATGGCGGAGATTGCACCGATGCTGTCGGTGCTGGGGTACGATCCGTACTCCAACCCGCCGGACTATGGGAAGCCGGATTCCTACGTGCAGGAGAATACTTATAAGGTAAGCTTTGAGCGTCCCCTTATTTTCGATCAGGAGGCGTTGGGTAGAAGGTCCAGCAGAACCATCCATGAGTTCGGCGTTAACTAGTCCATTATGCGTACAATGCTTTAGTTCATAGGCTACCCGAGCAAAGTTTGAGATCAAATTGAGAACTAAATTTGATGTTGTGATGTCGCAGATAATGATTACTCAGATTGCTGTCGTTTTGGTCGTTTTAACGGTTAAAATATCAAAAATTGAGAGCAACAAATTCTTCCTGTGACATCGCATTGAAAACTAATTCAGCTATCAGTGAGTGCAAACTGAAAACTCAATTTGTTGTTCATTTTTCCTGATGATAACAAAACGAGTATTCAATTTAATTTTCTGCTAAGGCAATGAAAACAAAGTTTGCTATACAATTTCCCAAGCAAAGTCCCGCAGCAAAATGGTAGCAAATGGAAATCAAACGTTGATATCAACATCAATTTGAAATCATAATTTGATTTCAGTTCACGCGATTGACAAATGAGATAACATATCAGGCGTAACATTTGATAAAGGCACAAGAGCATTTCTAAACAATCTTTCTAATGCTCTTTACACGCTAACCAAAGTACGCCCACGCAAACCAATACCACTTTTGGAAAGGTGAGAGTTGCCCCTATCTGATGATGTTGTTGGTTTGCGTGAGCGTACTTCGGTTCGCGTGTAAAGGGCATTAAAATGTTTGTTTACAAAAGCTTTTGTGCCGTTATCAAATGTTACGCCTGATATGTTGTTTTCATTTCGCTTTGCTCTTTATTTGCTCTCTATTGAATACGTTTTGCTGCAGTTTTGTTTGTATTGTCGTTGTGGCATATCGTTTTGTTATCAACAGGAACAATGTACATCAAACTAAGTTTTCAGTTTGCGCTTACTGACAGCAAAATAAATTTTCAATTTGATGACATAGGAAGATTTTGTAGCTGTCAATTTTGATATGTTAACCGTTAAAACGATCAAAACGGCAGCAACCTGAGTAATCATCCTCAGCTACATCACAACATCAAATTTAGTTTTCAACTTGATCTCAGACTTTGCTCGGGAATTGTCTATTGCGTAAACGGAAATCAAATTATGATTCCAGTTTGATGTTGATATTTGGTTTCGATTTGCTGCTCGGGTACCGATCGAAGTCAATAATAACGCGTGATATGAATGTTTGCACCCATTATTCTCAAAAAGAAAAGAAGTGCTCCGACCGAATCAATTCTTAACTTCATCCGATAGGCCGAAGTGAATTCAATGGCGTTTCAATGAGTTAGGCCGAGTTTGGGGTCCAGAAGGAGTTTTAGATTTTTAGAAATATCTCAACAACTTGTTACTCTTTATCAAATCTTATGGTACGTACGGAAAGGTAAATAAATTTAAAAGGCATCTGAAAATATTCCGTTTACTATTGAAAATCTTATGCTGTGAACCATGCCTCAACACTTTTGGTTTGAATTGTGACACACTTGGAGTCTATGTGATATCAATTGCTTTGCACATTATAGTTCAATGTTCTACGATTCTCTGCTTTATCGACTTATACTTTACCGACTCCAAAATTGAATCGACAAATATATAAACATAGCTGGCAGAGAGGACAGCCTTTTGCATAAACATAGCTTTCAGTCACATGCCTTTTTTAAATAAGCCTGATTTGGGAATTGATCCTGGACTGTTGGCGTGTGCTGCTGCCGTCGTCTTCGTTCGATCTCGCTGTGCCACGGTTGTTCTGGCTTGATTAATAGGATGAAGTCACTCTTGTTTTCGATGTTTACCTTTCTGAGCAAGCAATTCACATCGCATTGAAATGCAAAACACTTTTAATCCATCTGTTTTGAACAGTAGTGGGATTCAATGTGCAATACACTTGAATAGCTAGTGAAAGATTTTCAACATTTCAAAGTTTGAAACACTAGAAATTAACGTGTATAACGCTGCAAATGCAGCCAGACGGCTGCTGTCACGAACTGTCATTGGGAGCCAAGCAATTTTATGATGCTTTTCTTACAGTTGAACAAGAATACACAAGGCGGTATTGAAATCTTGCGTATCGTAATTTATGAAAAAAAACGTCATTTCCAGCTTTTTTATTCAATGGGAAACAGTTTATTTTTTTTTTTTTTTTTTTTTTTTTTTAACTCTTTATTTGTTCCAAATTCAAAATAAATTACATTTCATTTTAACCTAGGTGCTCCAGTTACTGCAGTAACGTACCAGCCTTAATTGTTATGATATATATCTAAGTGTTTTTACATTGTTCATGTCTTGGCAATTCAGTATTTTAAACAGGTTTTTTAACCTGCATGTCAGTATAACAATTGATATCTTAAAACTAAAAACTAAAACTAAATCTTATCTAAGTATAAAGGGAATTAATCGTTGCAATTGAGGATTGCAACGATTTTTGCCTGAAATTATTAATTATTTTGTTGGACATTTGTGCTAAAGTCTCAACATTCGAAATTCTATGTACTTCGGTTGTACTGTACCAGGGAGGCAACTTCAAAATCATTTTCAGAATTTTGTTCTGAATCCTTTGAAGTGCTTTTTTCCTGGTAGTGCAACAACAAGACCATATTGGCACAGCGTAAAGCATGGCCGGTCTAAAAACTTGTTTAAATATTAGAAGTTTATTCGTCAGGCAAAGTTTGGATTTCCTGTTTATTTATTTATTTTTTTATTTATTTGTCGTCAATCAGTGTAGACCGTTTTACAATAGTGCTGTTGCCTTACATGCTATTTTAAAACATACGTTTTATTTGAAATTGTCAGCAAATGTAGACTGCATATACAAATATCTAAAAAAATAAAAATTGTTTTAAACTTAACGAGATGAAATCCTAGCAGTTAGTGTTCTCCTTACTGTATCTTTAGACATCGTTAGATCTATATGCTCACAATAATTATTATACACTCTCATCATTCTATTAATTGGTCCATTTTTACCATAATTCGTTCTGTGAGGTGACAGTTGAAATACATTTCGAGTTCTTAACATGCGTGATGGTACGTAAAAATTTAATCTTGCTAATATTTTTTCTGAATTTACGCGTTGTGAGATAATATCATTGACAAAGGAAATCATGGAAATTTCTCTTCGTTTCTTAAGTGTTTCAATGTTTATCAACATGCAACGGGACTCATAAGAAGGAAGGGGAAAAGAGGTCCAGCCTAGTTTCCTAAGAGCAAATAACAAAAACTGTTTTTGAACTGATTCCATACGATTTATATAAGTTTCATGGTATGGAGCCCAAACCACACTGCAGTATTCGAGAATTGATCTCACGTAAGCTATATAAAGTGTTTTGATGGTATATGGGTCTTTAAAATGATAACTAAATCTTTTTATGAATCCCAACATATTATTTGCTTTGTGAATTGTGGTATTCACATGATCTACAAATGTCAACTTCGAGTCAAGAATTACTCCTAAGTCCCTAATTTTATCGCACCTTACAACCAGCTGGTTTCCTAGAGTACATGTAAAATCTAGAGTAGTGTTTTTTCTGGAATATGATATAATATTGCATTTTTTAACATTAATATCCAGCAGACTTTTAACGCACCAGTTGTAGAAAACATCAATTTCATTTTTAAAATGTAGCAAATCAGAATTGTCAAAGATTTCCATGTACAGTTTCATATCGTCAGCATATATGAGCACATTTAAACGATTTAACACAAACTTCACGTCATCCACAAATAAAATAAATAATAAAGGACCTAAATGAGATCCCTGTGGAACTCCCGAGGTAACATTAACTGGCGAAGATATTTTTCCTTTAAAGCGGACCATCTGTGTTCTTTCTGTCAAGTATGATCCAATCCATTTTAAAAGTGTACTTGTCATACCTAAACGTTTTAATTTAAAAAGAAGTAAGGGAATGTCTACTCTGTCAAAGGCCTTACTAAAGTCAGTGTATAAGGTTTCAACGGTATTACCTCTATCCATTGCTTCAATAGAAAAGTTTACAAATTCCAACAGATTAGTAGACGTTGACCGACCTTTAAAAAAACCATGTTGATTATTTGAAATGCGATGCTTAACCTGGTTAAATATTTTCTGGTTAACAATTGCTTCAAACATTTTAGGAATGCATGACATAATTGCAATACCTCTACAGTTTTTAATATCTGACCGTTTGCCAGATTTAAATATTGGAACTAAAAATGATTTCTTCCAAATTTTTGGAAAATCACCTGTTTTGAGAGATAAATTGTAAAGCCAAAACAATGGTTTAACAAAACTTGTTGCTATTTTTTTCAATAAAAATGGAGGTATTTCATCAGGACCAGGTCCTTTGCCAGCATCGAGACTTTCAAAAGTCATAAAAATTTCTTTAACAGTGATATTTTTAACTGATACGTCATTTTCCCCTTCATGTAGGTAAGAAAAATAGTTCAAATCGAGAGCATTACTGGATTTCTTATATGTGTTTTGGAAAAAACGAGCAAATAGGTTACAAATATCCTCACTATCAGTGCTATCACACTCTTCAAACTGCATGCGTGATGGGAATGTACATGACTTCATTTTTTCGTTCGCGAAGTTAAAGAACGTTTTGGGATCTGATTTTATATTGTTCTCTACTCTTGAATTGTAATTCTCATATGCTGACGATATTTCTGCCTCAAGTGCTCCGCAAATTTCAACGTATTTTTCTAAATTTTGTGACGTTTTAAACTTTTTATACGCCTTGTGTGCTTTTTGTTTCCTGTTTTTAATATTTCTGATTTCTTGTGTATACCACACAGGATATTTGGTGCTGTTCACTATTCTCTTTTGTCTTTTAGGAACGAATTCTTCAATAATATTGTATAAGTTAGTATAAAATATGTCAACAGCCTTGTCCATGTTGTTTTCATCTTTTAAAAGGTTTTGCCAACTTATGTTATTCAGTCTGTTGTTAAATTCAGGAACATTTGCATTTTTAAAATCATAAACTAATTCAAAATCAACAACGCTTGGGCGTGACCGATGCGAGTCT